AGTATGCGTGTGTCAGAGGTATCAGAGGTGGTTATCGCCACTATTGCTCTGCACCAATGTACTCTCACCACGTGTCCCTCTGAGCAGAGGGAGATTATTCTCTGCGCATCCCGTTAGGATCTTCTAACGCAGGCCACGCGCTTTCTCACGTTCAAGCCACGCCCTCGACTGCTCTTCACCTGTTGAGTGTTCGATCTGACCGAGTCCCCCGTCGCTAGGTCGATCCTCGACCAGTTCTGCTATTCTGCTTGATCTTTTCCCTTTTGGTCGATTATCACTTGACCAATATAGTTTTCTCGACCTCGAGCTCGCCCGACCAATGTGGTAAATCGGTCTATTCTTTAGTTATATAATATCCCATATCACCCCTGTACTTATTCTTCTTTCTTTCCTTTTTTAGATTCTCGTGCCACCAGTGATTCCAGTGGGGCTTCCGTCAGCTGGGATATGTGCTCTCCATCCTCCTATGAGACCTCTTCCCCTTCATTCTCCTCTTCATTCTTCTTATACTTATTCCTCAACTGATTCCAATATCTTCTCAACCTGTTCCATTTTCTCCGACTACTCTTCTTCTTCTCGACCTACTCTACCTTCTTCGATTGTCCCTTTTATTTTTTCTCGACCTCTCTGTTTAGCCAATGAGTCTGAATTTGAAGAAGAGGCAGAATCCCCACCTCAGTCTAATCCTAGGACCAGCTCGATCCCTATGGGTCAACCTATCCTTCATGCCGCTCCCAACGCAACACGTAAGCCCATCACGCTCATCCATGTTAGTAAGGATTGGCTTAACTCTTTTCTATTCAGATGCGGGTTGCCTTATGACTGGCAATACGTCTCTTCACAATCGTTGGGCACCTTTCAAGCACCTCCCATCTGATTGCTACACCTTCTTCCAAGACCAGATGGAGCCTGATATTAGATTTCCTCCAATCAAAGTACGGTTGGAACTATGTAATATATACAACCTACCCATCAACCAACTCTCACCTAACTCCATAAGACATTTAGTGATTTTTCCATGCTTTTCAATTGTAAATTAGGTTATATCCGACCAAAAAAAATTCTTTTATTATTATGTGGACATGGAGCAAAAGAAGACCTTGTATCACGCAGCTCTCATTGAAGCTAACTTCATCGGTGACCTCCCCACCAACATCCCTCAGTGGAAGAATAAACTCTTTTCCATTCGACCTTCTTCCCATTTTCATTCAAATCTACCTGGTTAGACTGTCTACCTCTCAGGATTTCTATTCCTTTTCGAGATCAGACCTTCAATCTCCTGATCGCATCATGGAATAGCGCCCTTGTTCCCTCTTAAAACGAGCAGTTGTTATTTCATAGTGGTCTCTCAATGAGACCTTACCCTCCTCTCACTGAGGCTAAGCTTGGTAAACTAATTTTCGTTTGATATGTGTTATGTTTTAGTTTGTTTTGTTCTATACTAGTTCTTATTCTCTCTTTCTCCCTTCTAGGAAATTTTCTGTCGAAGCCCAAGGCCACCTCTTCGATTTCCAGCGATAAGGGAAAAGACCCCTCGATCCGAGGCGAGAGTCGCACCGAGGGATTCCTCTCCGAACAACTCAGCAACGTTAAAACAACGTATCTGTCCAGAGAGTCCGTCGTCTCTCGTCCTCCTCTTGAAAAATCAATCGGCAAGAAGAGGTCAAAGTAAGCTCATGTCGAGCAGACTAATGTTGAGGTTGACCTACCACAATCCTTCGCTACTAACCTTGATGGGTCAGCTATCTCTTTCTCACTCATGAAGTTTCTACTATCTGCCGAAACCTAATGCTGGGGGCCCAACCAGAGAGGTCGAACAGAATATGCGGTTAAGACCTTTGCTCAGGTACCTTTTTATTCCCTAGTCTTCAATATAAGCTCACATTTACTTTTATTTTGATTCCTATAATTTGTTCTTTTCCTTTTCCACAGTTCATGTCAGCCATGGTTCCTATGCTTAGTGAGGACCTCGACAGCTTTGGTCCTTCTATCCAGGACCTCTAGGAGGAGAATCGAGCTCTGCGAGAGGAGGTCAAGAAGCTGGCCATGAATAGATTCGACCTAAAGCAGGAGCTATCTCAGACCAGCCGCCGACATGTCGACGACCTCCGAGAAAAAGAAAAAGAGCTTGCTTCTGAGGTCACTCGCCGGGAGGAGGAGGTGAAGATTGTTAAGACTGTTGGAATGGTTCGTGGTCGACAGTACTTCCTAACTTTTTGGTTGGGGGGAACTTTTCTCGATGCCTACCGGGAGTAGGTCATCGAGAATTTCTGTCGATCTACCAGTTTTCTTGTGAAGCTCGGCCCTGTTGTCAATCGTTTCTTCAATCTTGCCTTGGACGTGGTCGAGGAGCAACTTAAAGCTTCTGACTTCTCGGAGGTCATCAACCGTGAGGCCATCATGAATCAACTTCCTTACTACACCGACGGTGATGAAGACGAGCCCCGACTTCCTTCTGAACATGTTTGGTGGACCCAAGTGCTCGAGCGATGCCTTTCCCGTCTCGATCACGAGAAGAAACTTGTCATTCCAACTACTCCAGTTGAGAGAAGGAGGTTAAGCCTCGATGGCCCAAGCGACCGGTGAAGCGGATTTTGAGAAGACCGCCTATCAGACGACCTCTTCGACCGACGATGTTGTTCCTGATCCAACTCCAGCCCCTCCTCAATAATTTCTTTCTTGTAATTTTGGTGTTATTTTGGAAAACCTTGTAATATAACTTTTCCTTTTGCCGATCGATTGACCTTTATGATGTAACTTATTTTGTAATGTATTCCTTAGTTCTTTCTATTTAGATATTTTTACACTTACTACCAAAGTAACCCTAATCATCGTGACCTGTCTCTAAGGTCTCCACAGTTAATTCCATACTAGAAAAATTTTCTGCAATTGACATTATAGTCGCCATATTTACTCGACCTGCCACTGGGTCTCCACAAACGATTCCATAAATAGAAATATTTTCACCATCTCTACTTAAGAATACTTCATTGTTCGACCTTCCTCTGAAGTCACCAAATTTAGGCATGTACGTAGTAAATTTTGTAACTCTTATTGAAAAATCCTTAACGGATCGACCCACCACTGTGGTCACCAATTTGAAATCTATACTTAATAATTTTTAATGTTTGCAACACTGTCAAACCCAGTACAATCTATAAATAACTTCGTTACAAAAACTTTATTCGCCCGACCTTACTGCTAAGATCTCTAATTTCAAATTCGTACTTGGAAATATTTTCGTCATTAAGATTTTTTTATGTAATCGACCTTCTGCTGAGGTCGTTAAATGAATCGTCATATAACGAACTTCGTCCTTTTCCAGATTAAAATTTGTATGTTTTTTTTCACCTTACATTGGACGACCTGCCCCTAAGGTCACTGAT